AGGTTACCAAAGGATGGAAAGGTTAGTGGCTTGGGCGGACAGGGAGGGATTTGTTAAAGGATACATAATTACAGCTCCATAGACAGGAGGAACAAGTTCTAGTGCTTTATAGCACTGTAGAATGACTACAGTTGACAATACTATATACTTTCAAATAGCTAGAAGAGAGGCTATTGAATGTTCCCAACACAACAAAATGATAAATGAGATGATAAATGTGCTAATGTCCCTAATCTGATCACTACATCACTACAGGTAAGTATTGAAACATCACTATGTACCCCATAACTACGTACAATTATGTGTCATTAAAAATTAAGAAAATAAAGGCATCTGTACAAGCTGTTGCTGCCGTCCAGAGGAGAAATACTGTTGCAGGCCCAAAGAAGAGATTATGTAGTATTAGACTGTGGTGATGGATTAGTCAGGGTTCTCCAGACAGAACCATTAGGATGTGTATATGTATGTAGAGAGATTTATTATGGGAATTGGTTCGTGTGATTGTGGAGGCTTAAGTCCCAAAATCTGCAGTCGGCAAGCTGGAGTCCTAGGGGCGCCCATGGTACAGTTCCAGTCAAAGGCCAGCAGGCTTGAGACCCAGGAAGAGCTGATGTTTCAGTTCAAGTCTGAAGGCAGGGAAACAAACAAACAGAAAAACCCAACAAAACAAAATAAAACAAAAACACCCCCGATGTCCCAGCTGGAAGGCAGTCGGGAAGGAGTTCCCTCTTACTCAGCCTTTTTGTTCTATTCAGGCCTTCGGTTGACAGGATGAGGCTCACCTGCGTTAGGAGGGCCATCTGTTTTACCAAGTCTACCAATTCAAATGTTAATCTCATCCAGAAACACCCTCCCACACATACCCAGAATGTTTGACCAGATATCTGGGCACCCTATGGCCCGGTCATTGCCACATAGTATTAACCAGTTTACAACAATAGCTACCATTTATTGAGTGCCTACTATGTGCCAGGCACTCCCCTGAGCATTTTCTATATGTACACCTATCCTGTAAGGCAGATTTTATCCATGTTTTTAAACTGAGAAATCAGAGTTTGAAAAATTTCAGTTGCTTGTCCTGACTCACTCAACTAGTAACTAGCAACAGAATTTGGTTTTTAGTCAGACACGGAGCATGTTTTTTTCAGCAATGACAAGAACCAAAATAGAAGAGTTTTACATAAGGAGGCAATGTATTTGCAAATCCATCCTTTCATCCAGAGCATAGAGTATGCTGTGTTCCACCTTCCTGGGAGGACTCTGGACTCTGAGCCAATATGTAGCTCAGATTCACATGAATCTCTTTAGCTAGTTAAAACTATAAATGCTCTAGCATAAAGATTATTTGAAGCCAGGCACAGTGGCTCAAGCCTATAATCCCAGCACTTTGGGAGGTGAAGGTGGGAGGAGCACTTGAAGCCAGGAGTTTGAGACCAGCCTGGGCAACATAGTGAGACCCCTCTCTACAAAAAAAATTATTAAAAAATAGCCGGGGCCGGGCACGGTGGCTCACGCCTGTAATCCTAGCTCTCTGGGAGGCCGAGGCGGGTGGATTGTTTGAGCTCAGGAGTTCGAAACCAGCCTGAGCAAGAGCGAGACCCCGTCTCTACTAAAAATAGAAAGAAATTAAGTGGACAACTAAAAATACATAGAGAAATTAGCCGGGCATGGTGGCGCATGCCTGTAGTCCCAGCTACTCGGGAGGCTGAGGCAGAAGGATCGCTTGAGCCCAGGAGTTTGAGGTTGCTGTGAGCTAGGCTGACGCCACGGCACTCACTCTAGCCTGGGCAAAACAGTGAGACTCTGTCTCAAAAAAAAAAATAGCCGGGCATGGTGGCATGTGCCTGGAGTCCTAGCTACTTGGGAGGCTGAGGCAAGAGGATCTCTTGAGCCTGGGAGTTTGCGGCCGCAATGAGCAAATGATCGTGCCACTGCACTCCAGCGTGGGTGATAGAGCAAGACTCTAAAAAAAAAATTTGACGTTGTGTAATAAAATGCAGTGTCCCATATCCAGAGATTCTGATTCAATATCTGGAGTAAGCCCAGGAATCTACTCCAGGTGATTCTGGTTTAGATGAGAAACCCTACTCAATCACACTGGATTGTGGTTTCTATAGGGGCCTAAACGAAGAGTGGGTCATATAGTTTCCTGAGGCCTATCTGGGATGTGCATCATTCAGTTTCTCAAAGAATGGGCTTCCAACTTGAAGATGGCATTTCTATATCTGGAGTTTATCCTCCAGTCCAAGGATAGGCTTGAGGCTCCCTGGATGGGAAACTGCAAAGTATATGATGGGCCTTGCACTCTTACCTCAAGATTTCCTATGTATGAAAAGTATTTCACGTAGTCCTAAGTATACCAACCACGCCAATCATGGTGGCCAACTTCCATAGCCCCCTACTCAGCACTGGGCTGTTTTTTATGCAGGGTGAAATTGCGGGACTGGTGTGGGTGTTGACTCACAGTCTGGTCAAGGACTAGAGGTGGTCTGGCACAAAAGGTTCTGTCTAGCAAGGACAATGGTAATTGACTAAACAATCAGATAGGTTGCATCCAGAATGTGGGGTGGTAGACCTGAGTCCATTAACCAGTAGGTAGTAAGAGATCAAAACTGCTAAGCAGAGAAAGTACACATGCCTTCAGGGAAACTATGGGGAACAGAAGGGTAGAGGAGAGACAAGGTAAGCAAAGTCAAATCTCAGACTGCCTTGTTCCAAACAGCTTTCCAGTCCTTGCCTACTCATACTAACAATACCAACCCCCTTTCTTAAAGGTGTTCAAGTCATGTTCTTCGCAACCAAGAGCCCAACTTACACATCGAAATGCTTGTTTCGCCATTGTGAAGGTCTGAAGGATCTTCTTTGCGATTCCTTCCAGTATTCAAGAGATACTCCCCTTGCCCAGGCTGTTACCCTGTTTGAGGGGATGGAAGGGGCAGAAGGTTCCTTAAGGTGTTGCAAGTAAAGCCCAGCCTTTCCTGGGTCACAACTCTGGCAGTGAGCCGTGCCCTCAGCCAGGTTTTCCCTACTCCCTGTGGCAGTGTCTGAGTGGGCACTTCCTTAGATCCCCTGCAGAAATCACACACGTGAGCCCCAGAGGAAAATGACCTTCATTCTCTCTGAATTCCCCAACGTGAGCACAGTGCCCAGAGAGGAATAAGTGCTCAATTAATACCAACTGAAAAACAACAAAGCACTTTCACATAGTCTCCCATTCATTCTCAAAGCCATTTGGGGAGCGTTTTGTTTTTATCATTTCACATTTGAGGAAATAAAGTTCAGTGATATTAAGTGACGTGTCAGAGATCAAAATGCTAGTCAGTGGCAGAGCCAACACTCTCCATAAGGATATAATACCCAAGAGATAACCCAGGTTCTCTCACTTCCTCAGCAAAAATCTTTTAAATTATTTTCTCCCATCCCAACAGCTGACGTAGTTCAGACCTTCACATTTCTAACCTCCCAACTGATCTTCCTGCCTAGGTTTCATTCCCAATCTACCTTCCGCACCACTACCAAAGTTAACCTTCCCAAATGGAACTCTGGTCGTGCCACACACCAATTAAGTCGAGTGCACACAAGACAAAAGCCCAAACTCTCATGGTTTCCAAAGCCCTCCATGATCTGGCCTCAGCCTGCTCCTCCAGTCTCACCTCCATCATCGTATTCCATTCGTATCAATTCCCGCAGTTTCTTCAAAACACTGCTCTTTCCCCCCGTGTTTAATATGCCATTTGTTTCTCTTTCATGATCCATTGTTAGCTTCTCCAAGGCCAGCTATATGTGTAATAGACATATAATAAAACTAGCTCGTACATACAAGAGTATGTATAACACATCTATGGTTTAAAGAATAATAAAAGAGCAATCACGCCTGCAGCTAAAGAACCACGTTACCAAAGCGCCCTGTAAAGTAATGTTCTTTTAGGCCTCTGTGCCTCTGCACATGCTAGAATGCCCTCCCAGGCCTTGGTTTGCATAGTGAAGTCATCCTTTGGAATCTCAGATTCAGTTTCCCTCCTCTGGGAGGCCTCCATTGTCACCCCTGAGGGATACTTAATGATTCCATTATCCCCTATTATGGCATTTACAACTATATTATGTTTGCTTACATGTTTGCCTCCCCAGTAGATTGAAGTTGCCAAATAGTATTTAATCTCTGAATCAATCTCTAGCAACCAGCATAAAAGCTGGTTACAAAGCAAGTGATCAATAAATACCACATTCATACAACTTAGTTTGCCTGGAGAGTCCCAATTTATGTCTGTTGTCCTGGAATAATTATTGGAAGTGCTTTCTTTTACTCTCAGAAGTGTCCTAACTTAGATTACCAATTATATGATCACTCAATAAATGTTGAATGAATAGATGAATTAATGAAGAAAGATTTTAATGGATAGAATCAAGGTAGGAAAAGCCAATATGTAAAGATTCTCAAATAAAATTCGACAGCTGGCCACTGCACCTCCTTCTCCTCCAGAAGTGCTCGACTCTTCTGGAGACAGAGAAAATGAGTTTGTACAGACCAGATGCTCGATAACATTTACTGCACAAATAAGTTGAAAACTGTTAGCATATTCCTTCTTCAAGAAAACTTAGATGTAAAATGTGAATTTACAGTACAGACAGCTGGTAGAGAAATTTAAAAAGCTGACTTCTTATTGAAAATCAGAAATGCAGATCAAATACTCCTAAGATAACAGTCAATACGGACATGTGATTTTAAAAATTCAATATATGTACCATTTTTTAGAAAAAAACCTCTTTTCAGCATATGTACACATACCAGTTCGTTGTTCTTGCTCTTAGGCAAAGATATAATCTCCTTAAGCTTGATATTATAAATATAAATTTTATTTTCTAAACTTCTTTTGTTATTCAAGTAGAAAAAGCTGTTTTTAACCACTGTTACACAAAAAACAGAAAGTGAGGCAATCCATCTTCTAGACAATAATCTTCTCTTGCTCCAACAATGTCATCTTCTTTGAAAGTCAAGATAATTCCTTGTAAATAAGGCTTTTAATAAATTACAAATATGTAATAGGTCCATCTTCTTCCTAACTACTTAATGCACTGTTGCATAGCAACAATTTTTTTTTTCTGCTTCTTTTTTGATGAGAGTCTGAAATCTGCATTGGCTTGGTTGAGCTTGGGAATTTTTTTGGTACCAGGGGTGCAAATATCCATTGTAGAAATCAGTAGCTGTTAGTGTTTTCTTAAGCATCACTGATCGAACACCAATCCAGCCATCCTTAAGGGCAAAAGACAAACAGTGAATAGGAAGTGATGGCAAAACTGAAAAACTAAGTAAATTTTAGTTTATAAAATTTTTACATGGAAACAAACAAACAAACCGATAAATCTTCACTAAATGCCTAGCTGTAAACAGCACTGTACTAGGTAACATATACAATTCCTTGACTCCAAAAGTTTATTACCAAGGAGAGGTAACAAATGCACAGACCTGCATAATCCTATTTAAACAAAAAGGGAGCAGAGTAAAAAGGTATGTTATATGTGCATGGTGCTTTATAGTTTTCAGAGTATGTCCATATATCTTACTGTGACTGGTCATCAAAACGTAACAAATCTAAAAGATAGGCGGATCCAATATCATGCCCAGTTTAGTTCAGTTTTGAGACGAGGTCTTGTAATGTTGCCCAGGTGGGACTTGAACTCCTGGGCTCCTCCTGCCTCAGCCTCCTGAGGGGACCACAGGTGGGAGACACCCCATCCAGCTATCATCCTCATTTTAGAAGAGGAAACTGATGCCCAGAGAGGGTGGGTGATTTGTCTGAGCTAACACAACTGATAAGACTCAAATTCACATGTTCCGACAACCCCAGCTTCTTTCTATGAGAGCAAGCTGCAGATGTGCAATCCATATGTACAGACCCAGACAAGGACGGCAAGACATATGAACCCAACACTGTTCCAGAATAAATTGGCGAGAGATGAAGAAAGGTCGATGGAGGAAAATTCTGTATCTATAGTCTGTGTAGGTCAGATCAATCTATCACACATTTTAAACAATGCTTCTTGAGCATGAAGCATCTCAGCTAAACACCACATGATAGAAAATACCCAGAAAATGGAAGGAATGTGAAACACTTCTCGGAACACACCATGGTCTTATAAAACAATACTAATTGCAAAGTCATTTTAAATAGTTCAGAAATCTCTTAATTACTGTTGAGCAGTAAAAGAAAGTAGGATACGTGCCCTGCAGTAGTTCAGCCAAATACTTCAATATGACTATGTTTATGTTATACCAAGCATAGGAGCTTGCTAATTACATTAGATTACTGAAAATACATAAGTTTTCTTTTAAGAAAGCACTCAAGTTACTGAATTTTCTTTCACTGATTAATAATAATGCCTTGGAAAAACTTCATCACTTTAAAAAAATTATGCTAAAGGTTATACTATTTCTTCAGAAAATTAAACTGCCTATTGGCCCCATCTGATGGACAGGAAGTTAAGTGAACTAAAAACAATAAATTATACAAACTATAAACTCAGTAAAACAAGTATGATAATTTGAAACTAAAGCAAAATGTACCTTGCAATAAACCAGCAGGATCTGTGACTGCTTGTGGTATATTACTGATCCTGGAATAACAGCCTGTCTTGTTAACATTGGATCTGAAGAATGGAGGAAAAAAAAAAGATGTGAGAGAGAAATAAATTATGCAACTTCATGGTACTTCTCAAAAACCAAAAAAGCAGTACTAACATCGGGAGGCACTACTAATATTGGAGAGGACGCATCTTGCTGGTGCTCTGACTTTGTGATCCAAAACTGATGATGAAGCCATAGTGCTCTGTGTACATCGCCAACCCAAAGGAAAACTTTCCACACACACAAGAAGCTACAGTTCCTTTACCTAGTCTCCCAGTGATCACCTAAAATGCTGAATCTAGAAGTTTTGTGTTATTCTTCTGGGGAAATAACTACTAACCAGTGGAGAGATACACAGGATGCTCAGGATTTAAGTGGGCCCTTTCATCCCTGCCCAAACAAGTCCTAATTTCTAGGTTCCTAGGAAACTCCAGCTACCTCTAGACTAGGTCAGCTCCCTCTTGGGCTCACATTCCTTCTGTCTACCATATTGGGAGGGCACTGATGAGCCTTAGAGTGGACCTGTGACATGAATGCTGTAAGCTGGCCTAGATTCTCACTAAGCTGCCCAGATATTTCCATTATGATATTCACTAGAATAAAGTTAACCAAGTCATTGGAAATCACAGAGCTTAAAATGGGATAGGAACACTGCTCTGCCTACTTCCCAGGTTCTTGTAATGATTAAATGAGAAAATATAGGTGAACGGACACTGCAAAGAGTAAGACAATAAGTGAAAGTAAAGTATTATCATTATTGAATTGAAACAGGCTCAAAGAATCCTTCTTTTTAGTAAATATGACCTATGGTAAAACAGACACATTTTCAAATAGACTATAGCGAAAACATTTTCGAAGTCAGCTATTTAAAAGTTAGTACCAGTAAGGACTGGGCTGTTAACTTCTACCAAATCCAGAAGTTTAATGGTATTCTCCATCCAGAGCGTCTGCAATGGAATCTGCAAATAACATTAAAGAAGGTATGATAAAGGAATACACCCAACCCCCAAACCCTTTTCAACTACTACTTCGTGTTAATCTAGTCTGACTTTTCCCCTAATTAGAGGAATTGGGAACTCAGTCACTAACTTTTATGGAACATAACATAAACATGACCTTTTATCATCAGTCTTTCCAGGATTTATAAGATCTTAAACATTACAGCACTTGTGTTAAAAAAATTTTAGAAAGTGATAGTATTTTGCATTCCCATCCCCAGAGGTAACCACTGTCAATAGTTTGATGTGTATTTCCCTGTATTTTTTTCTACAAATATTATTATAAAAATTTAGAATATATTGTTTTACAAAGAACTTTTGTTACTTGACCATAAGCCAGGGACAACTTTTCATCAGTACACACCTACTTCACTCTGTATCTGCTGCACAGTATCAAAAAATCATAATTTATGCAACTAATACCTTTATGATGGATATTCCAGTTATTTTCAATTTCTTGCTATTATATCATTATAAAATATGGTAATAAACAGCTTTGTAGATATGTCTTTGAGCACTTATATATTTTTGGAAAATAGTTTTGGGTTTTTTTTTAAGTGGAATGCTTGGGATAAAGAGCATCATTTTATTAATAAGTTGCCTTGATTAGTGAAAAAAAAAGATAATTTATTACTGTTTTTGTTTTGTTTTGTTTTGTTTTTGTTTTTGAGACAGAGTCTTGCTCTGTTGCCCAAGCTAGAGTGCCGTGGTGTCAGACTAGCTCACAGCAACCTCCAACTCCTGGGCTCAAGCAATCCTTCTGCCTCAGCCTCCAGAGTAGTTGGGATTACAGGCATGCATGCCTGGCTAATTTTTCCTATTTTCAGTAGAGACAGGGGTCTCACTCTTGCTCAGGCTGGTCTTGAACTCCTGAGCTCAAGTGATCCTCACGCCTCAGCCTCCCAGAGAGCTAGGATTACAGGCGTGAGCCACCGTGCCCGGCCTATAGCTGTTTATTATTAGCGAGGCTGAGGAGCTTTCCATGTATTTACTTGTACTTTTTATTTATTTCTCTGTCGACTGCCTATTTCTGCCCTTTTGCCCACATTTTTAAAAACTGGAATGTTCATCTTATTAATTTGCAAAAATATTTTCTATATTTAGGAAATCAGCCTTTTAACTCTTGTGTTATAAATATTCTCCCCACTTTGTTGACTTTTAATCTTGGGGACAGTCATTTTTTTTCATCAGTTAAGTATTTAATTTTTATAGAGTTAATATTTATCAGTCTTTTTTCTCATGACTTCAGTGGTTTGTGTCATACTTAAAAAGGCCTATTCCATACTTAAAGATTATTAAATATTGTAAAATTATTCAAATGTGCTTTTTTCCAGTCCTTGTGGTTTCGTTTTTTACATTTAAATCCTTGATCCATCTAGATCTTACTTTTTAAAATTATGGTAAAAAATACATAACGCAATCTACCCTATTATCAAATTTCAAAGTGTACAGTATTACTAACTATATGTGCATTGTTGTACAGCAGTTATTTTGATTTTGAAAGGTAGGACTTGAGGGTCTCCCCTCCCCCATGGTTAGCCAGTCATCCCAGTGCTATTTACTGGGTAACCCATCTCACCCCTCCTCCCAGTGTGAAATGCCACTTTTATCACATAACACATTTCCAATATACTTAAGATCCTAGAACTTGATTTAAATAGGTTAATAAAAATTAACATAGAACTTGATTTAAATAGGTTAATAAAAGTTAACATACACCAGGAAATAAGTTCTCTCAAATTTATGAATTAAATACATTTATTTTCACACTATAGCTCATTCTTCCATTTCATAGATAGAGAAAGTGAGGCTGAGAAAAATGCGGCTATTTTCCCAAGTCTGGACACAGCTAGTTAGTGGCAGAGCCAGGGTCAGATTCTGTTTTCTGATTCTCAGCTCAGTGCTCTTTTTATGACATCATTTAAAGAGGACATTTAACTTTCAGAAGAGTTAGGTTATTGTAATAATTTGAACATTAAATCAAAGAATTAAATAAATTTGAAGAAAAAGTTCATAGGTACTCATAACCTTATATATGTTGTATTTTGGGACAATATCCTCTTTTATATCTTGCAGGCTCATTTTTCTTTCACCTGCTGTCACAAGTTATGAAACAATTTTCACGTGCGTAATTTTTTTCTTTCAAAGAACTGAAAATATTTTTGAAACATGATACTGACTAAAAAAGATTCATATTTATTGAGAATAATAAACATGCTGGGTACACGCTCAAAATACACAATTCTTGGTCTTGAGGAAAGCTCACCTATCAGAACATTACAGAAAAGAAAGGGATGGTAAGAATATAATCATTTCAGTGTCAACCATCATTACTGTCAAAATAATATGTTTTCATAGATTTAGATTCATATAGTTTATTTCCTTTGATCTTGACAGTTGTGTACATGGTTATTAAGCCCATCTTAGAGTTAAAAAAGCAGAAGCTCAGAGAAGGTAAGGGCCTTGCTTTTGTTTAATAAAGGGCAGCTCTAGGAATCAAACCTCACCTTCTGGCTCCAAGATAAGTACTTGGTCTTTTATAGCACAAAGCTTTTCTCCATTGCAGAAGATAAGGATCATTATGCAGCAAGTCAGAGATGCTAAGAGATTTCAAGCTACTGGCCTAAATTGCATCTCAGGAATTTGTCTACTTGGTATCTCCGTATGGATGTCTTCTAAGTATCTCAAACTTAACATGGCCAAAACAGAACTATTTATTTCTCTCCCCAAATCTGTTCCTCCCTAGATATCCTCATCTCAATTAAATGGTACCACTATTCACCCAGTTGCTCAAGCCAAAAATCTATGAATGATCCTAATTTCTCTTTCCTTAAGTTACCCATATTCCATCAGCAAATCCCATTGACTCCAATTCCAAAGCACAGCCTCGGTTCCATTTCTTTTTGTTTTTTAGAGACAGGATCTTGCTATGTTGCCCAGGCTAGCCTTGACCTCCTGAACTCAAGTGATCCCCCCACCTCAGCCTCCTAAGAAGCTGGGACTACAGGCTTGTGCTACCACGCCCCATGTGGATGTCCACTTCTTTCCATTCACTATTATCATTGCCCAAATTGCCATCATCTGTCACCTGGGCTATAGTTCCAGCTTCTTGCATGACTGCCGGTCCATTCTCTACCAGCAGCCAGAGTGACTTTTTAAGAACATATACACCTAATCCCATCACTTCCCGCTCAAGCCCTCCAATGACTTCTCACTACACGTCAATCCTATTCAATCTTGCCTCTGACCTCATCTTTTGCTACTCTCCACCTTGCTGGCTATGCTCCAGCCACAGCAGCCTCATTTCTGTCCCTCAAACATGTCTAGCTCTTTTCCACCTTGGGTCTTTTATTTTATTTTTGACAGTTTTATTGAGATACCATTTACATACCATAAAATTCGCCCTTTTACAGTGTACAATTCAGTGGTTCTTAGTAGACTCACAGAGTTGTTCAACCAATACCACTAATTTTTTTCTTGCCTAATTTTAGAACATTTTCATCACCCTCTTCCCCCAAAAAACCCATTACCAGAAAGTCTCCATTACTTTCTCTCCCCAGTCTATGGATTTGCCTGTTCTGGACATTTCACATACATGGAATTATATAATATGTGGCCTTTTGACTGCCTTCTTTCACTTAGCTTAGTGTTTTCAAGACTCATCCATGTTGTACCATGTGATTATGATTATGGCTGAGTAATATTCTATTGTATGGATATACCACATTTTATTTATCCATTATCAGTTGATGGACATTTGGGGCGTTCTATTTTTTGGCTGTTCTTAATAATGCTGCTATGAACATCTGGGTACAAAATTTTTGTGTGGACATGTTTTGCAATTCTCTTCAGTATAAACCTAGGAGTGGAAATGCTGGGTCATGTGGTAATTCTGTGTTTAACTTTTTGAGGAACTGCTGAACTGTTTTCCACAGTGGTTGCACCATTTTACATATCCATAAATACATGGGTTTATTTCTAGACTCTTAATTATACTGCATTGCACTATAGCCAGTATCACGCTATTTTGATTACTGTAGCTTTGCACTAAGTTTTTTTTTTTGAGACAGAGTCTCACTCTGTTGCCCTGGCTAGAGTGCCGTGGCGTCAGCCTAGCTCACAGCAACCTCAAACTCCTGGGCTCAAGCGATCCTACTGCTTCAGCCTCCTGAGTAGCTGGGCCTACAG